CGACTCAGCTGCAGCCGCTCCCTCCACTCCTGTCCCTGGGCACCAGAGTGAAGAGGTTCCCTCAGCCCCAGCCAGGGACCCGCTCCCAAGGCTGCTGCTATGGCCACCAGGGCTGGCACCAGCTGGGATGCTCGGTTTCCACAGGCCGGGGCTCAGGAATGGGATTCCGCAATTTCCTACGCCCGCTAAAACCCTGCTGGTGCTCATTGCCCTCCCACCTTCAGTTGAAGGAAGAAAGGGAAAGATCCCTAGCTGGGATAAGAACAATTTATTTGGAACAGCAACAAGATAAGGAACAAAGAGAAACAGAAAAAATATTGACAACAGAAGGGATAAGAAAAACTATTTACAGGGAAAACTACATCACCATCAATTGTATCTTCCTGGCCACATGTTTCCTCCTGCAAGGAAAGGACACCCGTCTCCTCAGGGAAAGAGAGAGAGAGTCCCTTTCCTGCCCCTGGCAATGACCTGAGGTGGGAGTGAATGTAGTGACAGGGCCATGGCCAGACCCTCATGCCCTTCAATCCCATATCAGGCCATTGGTAGGGGCAGGAAAAGGGACAGGTGTCTTCCCAGCATGGATCACAGGGAACATGGGTCACCAAGGCTCTTCCCAACGTGGTCTTCCAATGGGGGATGAAACTGGAGCAGTGCACAAAGCTCTTCCTGCAGCTGGGGAACTTTCAGGATTTCCCTTACTGGTGCCTCCGTTGGTGTTTGGTCAAGTCAGAGCTCCAGGTGAAGCTCTTCCCACACTGGGGACACAAGTAGGGCCTCTCCCCAGTGTGGATGCGTTGGTGGCTGACAAGATGGGAGTTTTGCTTGAAGCCCTTGCCACAGTCAGGGCAGAGGAAATGCCTCTCCTCAGAGTGAATCCGCTCATGCCGGAGGAGATCTGAGCTGCTGTTAAACGTCTTCCCACAAGTGGAGCACATGTAGGGCCTCTCCCCGGTATGGATACGCTGGTGTGTGACGAGGGTGGAGTTGCGCTTGAAGCCCTTCCTGCAGTCAGGGCAGTGGAAGGGCCTCTCATCCGTGTGAATCCACTGGTGTTTGAGGAGACCAGAGCTGCTGTGAAACCTCTTCTGACACTCAGGACACTCATAGGGCCTCTCCCCAGTGTGGATGCGTTGGTGGATGATGAGGTCAGAGCTCCGTCTGAAGCCCTTCCCACATTCCCCACACCCGTAGGGCCATTCCCCGGTGTGGATGTGTTGGTGGCTGACAAGGTGAGAGTTGGAGCTGAATCCTTTCCCACACTCCGCACACTCGTAGGCCCATTCCCCGGTGTGGATCATCAGGTGGCATTTCAGACTGTTGCTCTCCCTGAAGCTCTTCCCACACTCCAAGCACTTGTAGGGCTTCTGCCCATCAGGAAGCTTCTCAGGGACCACCAGCTCCAAGCTCTGGCTGAAGCTCTGCCCACCTTCCTGGCCCAGAGTGGGTCTTTCCTCCTCAGAGCATCCTGGGCTGGGCTTGCAGCCCCTCCTCCTGTGAGACCTCCAGGGATTTTCCTCCCTGTTGGATTCCTGCGCTGTGGAGTTGCTCAAAACGGCCTCTTCCATTAGGTTCTGCTGCAGGGATTTGTCCTTCCTGGTCTCCATCCTCAGCTCCTTGTCTGGAGGAGGAAGGACAAGGAGAGGATGGGATTTGCCTCCGTGCCACAGGGAAGGGCAAGCAGATCCCTCCAGTGCATCACCAGCAGGAGGGCACCGGCAGCGGGGCTGTCCTGCAGCTGGGGGCCAGGCTGGGCTGGGAGATGGAGCAGGAGAGAGGGGGAAAGGGGCACTGGCTTCCTCCTCACCTGCCTCGGTGTCCCAGGGAATCTTCCTCTTCCTCGCAACCTTCTCCATCTGGTGAACGTTTGGGTATGGGAAATCCTGTTTTTGGAGAAAAACAAGCGATGAGTACAGTGAGTTTTGTACTGGCTTCAAAGCAAACCAGGGGGAGAGTCTAAGCCAGAATGACAATTGAATAAGAAAATTAAGATCACAGCAACGATACAGAAACACTGGTTTAAACTCACAGAGTCAGGATATAACCTGACACCCCGTTGGTCAGGGTGATGGTAGCAGTCTGATGAAATGGTGACTGCAGTCCGGCTGGAGTGATGAACGTGATTCTGTCAAAGCAGTGATCCTGTAGAAGGGTCTGGTCTTCCTCTGAAGGTCCAGTGGTGGTTATGGAGCTCTTGTCCTCTGGGAATCCAGTAGGCAAGGTGGTTGTGGTGTTGCAAGGGTGAGATTATATCCCGGCAGGAATGCTTGGTTCCTCCCCCTGGGCGGAGCATCCCACAATGGGATGATGTAATTTTATCAGTCCTGCAGTGACACTCAATGGCCCATTAAGAAAAGATGGCCCCTGGAGAGCATTATCAGGGTTGAGCCATGGAAGAGATAAAGAACACTGCCCCACCTGTTGATAACAGTTTATGGAGATGGTGACTGAAAACACTTTTGGTTACATCTGACACTGTAACCTGAAACAGTGAGGCAATCCCTGCTCGGGGTGGGGGGTGAACACCACCCCCCTTACCCAAACTGGCTCAGGTGTAAAACCCCCACCCTGGGAAGGCCACACACACAGGGGACAATGTCACACTTGCCCTGCCCCAGGGGAGATCTCTGTCCTTGTCACTCCCTTGCTCTCCCCCCTTTTCTTTTTCTTTCCATGTCTCTCTACCTCACATTTACTGTTCAATAAAATCCACTTTGGATTTGGTCGCCTGAGCACCTTAATTGGGGCAGAGACATCTCTTTAACAATTTTATTACCCAGACTGCAATATTATTTTGCACAGTGGGTTCAGGGTTCTGTTGTGTGACCCCAAGGGTCTTTGACAACAGCCTGGTTCTCTCCTCTGTGGAGTTTGTGGCTCTTTCTGGAGGAACTCTTGGAAACTTGGATGCAGCTTCCTCTGAGCAGATTTTGGGAGAGCTTATGAGGAAAATGGCTGTTGTGGGTGGCCAGTGTAAAGAAAATATTTTCTTGTCCTACCTTGAAAAGTCTGTTAAAATCACTGGAAGAAAGGAACCAAATGATATCAGCAAGATTGACAAGGATCATTCACCCCAAGGTGAGAAATACAAGGCTACCAAAAGTCCTACAGGAAGCCCAGCTCAAGTAGCTAAATCTCAAATAACTTCTGAATTCAGAGGCGTGGGTGCTTTTCCAAATATGAGAATCATTATTTACTTTGTCTCTGTCACCTTTGTGACAGCTACACGACCTTTCCTTTTTTTAAATAATTTGTATTGGGCCAAATTTCCACTTTTCCTCTTTGGAGTCTGCCAGCATCTTTATTGGAGCTGTGCTGGAACTGACAGAATTTGGAATTGCCAGAGAATTGCTTCTGTTTATGGTTTATTCATGTGTGGGATTTATTTGGGTTTCCATCACAAGTGACTTTTGGGAAGAGCAAATCTTCCTCAAGACATTTTATAGAGGGTTAAGTTTGATTTCTGCTGAGTTTGTTTTGTCCAGTGTCCAGGGGATGCTCAAGGGGTCTCTGGTTTTGGTTTGGCCCTAATTTTCTACTGATTTGTCTTTATCACTTAAAAACACCTGAAAAAATATTAAAAATATTATTGACCAGAGATGTCAAAAGTCCCACCATTTAAGAAGTATTTGAGGTAGAATTTACTGTTTGGGAACATATTCTGGATGATTTGTGGGTTCTTGGAGGAGATATGGCAGTATTCTCCATATCTTTGCACTTCAAAATCCAAGGTGGATTGCTCTTTCATCTCAAAATGACTCAATCCCCCTGGAAGCTGCACAGTCTTACCCCAAACTGGCTACAACCCACCTCAAAATGGCTGGTTCCCACCTCACTCCCATGCCAAAATTAGTCACCTTCACAGCCTCCAGGTTGAGATGTAGTTGGAAGGAGATCAGAAGAAGTGAGATCCAAATTTGAGGGTGTGGGATTGGGACTGTGTGGGGCTGGGTGGGTGTGATTTATTTTTATAATAAATAAAACTATCAGAATTACTGATTTCTGTCCCATTCATTTTCTGTCAGTTCTGGTTTGCTTTTCAGAGTGCTGCCTTCTCAGCTGATTTTGTTTGTGTCTTCCTGTCCCAGACTGAAAAGCAAGATGTATTCTATTTGCCATCTGTATGGCAGTTGTCCTGTGTTAAGTCGGCAGTTTTTCCTTATCTCTTCCACAATCAATCCTCCCTCAGGGGAGACATCTGCTGATAATGGGCTATTGAATGTCACTGCATGACAGATGAGAACTGTAACATCCCATTGTGAGATGTTCCGCCCAGAGGGAGGAGCCAAGCATTCCTACCTGCATCTAGTTTTGAGATTCTGGCCCACCAGCACAGATTTTTCTGGGCTGGATTTTTCAGAGGAACAACTGCCTCTTCCTCTTCAGAGGAAGACTCCCATTCCTACAGGATCACTTCTCCAACAGAACCACAGCTGACACTCCTGGAGGACTGCAGCCACAATTACAATTGGACTGCGGTCAACACCCTGTCCAACAGAGTGTCAAGTTGTATTCTGACTCTGTCAGTGTTCTAGTTTACTGCATTGTTTATTTTCTTCCCTAATAAAAACTGTTATTCCTGCTTCCATATTTTTACCTGACAGCCGCCCTTAATTTCAAATTTATAGCAATTCTTAAAGAAAGAGTCTTCATTTTTCCATTTCAGGGGAGGCTCCTGCCTTCCTTAGCAGACACCTGTCTTTCCAAACCAAAACACCTCCTTTCTCTCCTGCCTTCCTTTGCCTGCTCTGTTTCTCTCTCAGTGCCTCCTTTGACCCAGGGCAGCTCCCACCAAAGACCCTGTCCTGATTTCATTCCCAATCCATGAGCTATGACAACCACAGGTGAAGTTATGAAGGCTGGCAGTGAAATGTCACTGTAAGATCTTGCTCCACTTGGCTTTTGGCTCTTCCATAAGAGCTTTTCCTTCTAGGACAGGAACTTCTTTTCCTGGCTGGGAACTGGAATTCCAACCCCTGGGAGCATAGCCATGGATGCCAGAGGTGCATTCCAAGGCTCCCAGGGTGCTGCTCCTGCCGTGCCTCCCAAGGAGCTGTGCAGGGCAGGGGACAAGGTGCAGCAGCTGTGTTGGTTCTGCAGTGCCACCACGGCCCTTGGTTCCATGAATTTCTGCACTGCCAACAGCGTTTCCTGGGTTCCATGATGCCCTGCTGTGTCCCCATGGATATTTGGTGTCATGAAGTTCTTCAGTGTCGCAATGGCCACCTCGCTCCATGAGCTTCTGCAGTGTCCTTGGATGGGCAGTGTCACCATGGACCATTGGCTCCATGCAGCCCCGCTGGGTCACCATGGATTCCTTGGTTCCATGAGGTTCTGGGGGTGTCTCCATGGTCTCCTTGGATCCACAGTGTCACAATGGACCACTGGATCCACGTGGCCCTGCTGTGTCACCATGGCCCCTTGGTTCCATGGGACCCCAGGGTCACAATTGACTCCTTGCTTCCACGTCACCCCCTCAGTGCCAAAATGGCCCCTTTGTTCCATGGGGAACACAAAAGATGTATAGAAGCATTGAGGAAATCCTGCTTTAAACACCAGGGAACATCTGCATTCCAAAGAGAGGTTAAAGGTGAGGATGGCACCAGCAGCTTCCATCTGCAACATGGATCTAGGGAAAGGACAGGGACAGAGAATTCAGCTGGGAGACTCAGAGAATTCTGCATCCAGAGATCATTTCTGGTCACACTGTCCCTTTAGAAAGGTGACACCATTCCAGGAAGCCTGTACTGAGCAGGTGGCTCCTGAGTGGGGTTTGTTGTTCAGGAAACCTGCTCAGGCTTTTCCATTCTTTCCTTCCCAAGAGGAAAACTTCTCCTGGGCCTGTGTGCAGGCAGAGCCCTGAGAAGAGCAGGTGTGACACGGTGCAATGGGCTGGGACATGGAGCTGCAGACCTCAGGGACAAGGTTCTGCTGCAGGGCACAGGGATGTCAGTGCCAGGTGGGCGATGTCAGACATGATGAGGCTGGGGGTGAGGAGCAGCTTGTCCAAACAGGGTCAGCCCTCAGGGGGCTCATTCTTCTACATGCCCAGGCCTCCTAAGGAGAACTTCAGTGTCAAGATCACCTGGGGAATGCTTCTATTAGCTCTTCTCTGAACTGGGAAATAAAACTATACTCACTTGATTGAAGAAAAACGGTCATGAGGTGTACTTTGAAATCTTCCTCCTTAACAGAACTCCTGACTGACTCCAATCAGCTCTGCAAGGCCTGGGGAGCTGAAGACAATTGAAGGAAGAGAAAGAGCCTCCAAGGGCTTTGTGTATCTTGATTATCCCTACAGTTGATTTGGGCCCCTGTCCAGGATCCTGAGGCACTGAGAGAAGGCTGAAGAAGCTGCTCAAGGAGACAGAAGTAAAACTCCAAGTCCCTTGGAGCATCAGTGGGCCCCACTGAGGACAGGGACTGCCAAAGCCTCCCAGGGACTGGAGAGAGCAGATCCTTGAGGCCAGGATTGCAGGGAGCCCAAGGCTCAGAGCAGGGAACTGCAATGCTGAGCAAGGCCTGGGCTGGCTGGGGGAAGCAGAAAGGCCAAGCCCTGAGCCCAGCCTGGCACAGCAGGGCCTGTCCCTCACGGGTGGCTCGGGGCTGTTTGTGGGGCAGGGGGATGTGAGGGGCAGCAAGGACAAATGTCACAAACCTGTGTGACCCTGCAGATCCTCATGGAACCAAGAGGCCAGTTTGACACTGTGGGCCTCATGGACACAAGAGGCCATTGTGAGTCTGCAGGGCTGTAACACCCCAGAACACTTTGGGGTCACCAAAGGTTCCTTTACTTGAGTTTGGTGCACAAGAGAAACACCAACCAGATATTCTCAGCATGGCCAGATGCAAAGAATACTCTTGGTGGGAAGGGATCCATAAG